TTTTCGAAACGGTAAAAAATGAGAAAAAAAGCCTTCTCTCAAATTTGTCACATTTTTGTTGACCCTCTTAAGGTTCATTGCTGTCTTGGCTCGTAAGTGCCATCGACATGATTGTCAGTCAAATCGTTTGGTTATGCAAACATCAATGTTTTGTTCATGTACTTATCTCCAATTGGAGTTTTAACAAAAAAAATTAATGATCAAATACTATAACATGACTTGGACCAAAGAGATGAAAATTAATGTTTCGCTTACTAGAGCAATAGCTGATTCACTGAATGTATATTTGAAACTTTAACGAACACTTTTCCTAGGCCAAACGTCGAACTTTTCATGAGATGAACCAAGCTTCAATGAGTCGACCTAAGTTTGTTGGGTCGGACGTCGAACTTAGGACGCGTCGAATCAGTCAGATCAGCAACAAATTTTCTCCAGAACGAGGCTAAAAAGCCTTTAATTTTTTAAGGGTTTATTAGTTTAGTTCGTCCCATGTGAAAGATCGACGTTTGTCCCGGAGACGATCTTCAGACGGATAGAAAAACGTGTTGGACGATCCGAAACTTTAATAACTGACCCAGAGGTCGAACTTTTCAAAACTTAACTCGGCTAGGTTTAGTTCGTCTGATGTAAAGTTCGACGTTTGGTCTAAGCCTTACAGTAACAATTACAAATAAAAGGTACAACTGCCAGTGGAGTCTAAGAATAATGTCACTGTGGTGACCTCTATACTACGTGGGAACCTCTCTAATATTTTGCTCTGTCCTTACGGTGTCCGTATTAGAGCGGCTTGACTCAGTACTTCATTTCAAGTGTAAGTTTCAGTCTCACCTATTGCATAATTGGTAGCGCTTCAGACAATACACAAGCGATCTTTTTTCTTTAAGACTGAGCTTCAGTTTGCTTCCCATGTGATACTTAAGATTTATCTAACTGCATACAACGCCGGTTACGTCCGTTGAAACAATGCAGGCGCGGATCCACACCGATTTCCACCGTTTTACGGAAATCGGTGACATTTCAGTCATAATAATATATTTTTAACAATAAAAACACTTTCCACGTTTCAAATCTGGCCAATATCCTGTCTGAATGACTTGGAAACCCAGGAAAGGGGACTTAACGAGTAAAAATCCAAAAAAATTTCCCGGGGGAGCCCGCCCCCCGACCCTTCTAGAAGCTTGCAGTTTAGGAAATAGGCAAGTATTTTTATCCTAGATCCGCGCCATGGTTCCTCAACCAGGGGGAGGGGAAGTATGGGTATTAAATGCAACAGCCCAAAAAATGTTATACTTCTAATAAAGTGATAACAAATAGTAAAAAGGCTGGTACATTATTATTATTGATATGGTCAATGTGGCTTGAAGCTTTTCGATTCAAAATCTCTTGTTGTTTTGAATATGCTTTCCCCTAACCACGTAAAGAATGTCATTAACGCGTGAAAATGTAGGAAATATCATGATCCCACGTACTAAATACTAGAGTAAAAGTACCGTAAAGTTGCGTAAATATCGATGTAAAGCTTACATTTCAATAATAAAGCAATATTTAATCTACAGACCTATTGTAGACTGGACTTGGATTTGGAAATGTCTTGTCGAGCTGATCCGGCAAAGCGATGGCAGAATTAGGTTGAATTAGTCGACTCTGCTGCCTTGCAATAAACTTTACCTTGCAGTATTTAAATAAAAGAAGTTTTACGTACCTTTTGTAAAGCAAAAGGCTCACCGAAAGAACTGTAAGAACCTTTTTGTCGAATATTTCTCCACCGTCTGCACTTCCGCCTTGTTGTTGCGAACGGACTTATGGCGCTGTTGGCCGAGAGGGCTTGGTACACTAAATTCCAGTCCTCACTCCTCTTATTAAATCACTCCTCAATCCTGAATCAGTGGTTTCCAGCCCGCGCCCCTAGGCCACTCAATATATAGGCACCTTACGATCCGACAACGGGCGACGTCCATGAAAACGTCGCTGAAAAATAGACTTTGCATCCTTTTAAACTTTTTCGCTATTATCCCAATTCGCCCTGTTACTTAGAAGAAGGGAATTTTGGTTGGAGCTCAAGAGAAGGGACCGCGCCCGAGTTCAGGCAGCGATGGTAGAATTCATCGCCTCTCCGTTCCTGTTCTCAAGTAAACTTAAAATTTGGTCATTTAATTTCACGTCGTAGTTGTGCAGGGACAGTAAAGAAATGTACAAAAAAGCGTGATGCACGTGCAGAATTGCTTTTTTGCTCATTAAACCTATTGCTTTTTTGACGTTCTCCTTGCAGTCGCCGTTGTAGTTTCGTAAGGTCCCTATTGACTTCCGCAAGGGTCCGAATACCTGAGTTCACAGAGTTCACATTACCATATGTGACGCTCTACTTTCGAGATAGGCGTGGCGCAGCTTTGATCAGTTACTGAGTGAATCGCACCGAAATCAGCGTTGTTATGTGTGAACAAGAGAGAATAAGCTGTCTTATTCTCTCTTGGTGTGAATAGAAGCCCTATCCAGTGTGGTATGGGAAGGTCCATAATAATATCCTAGAGTTGCTGACCTCATTATAAGAGGCCTTTCTTAGTCAGTATACGTTGAAAAAATATCGTGTGGCAATCTAAATTTTAGAGAGCCGACTTAAAACTCAGACTTACTTCTCCCGCCAAATACAGCTGCTTTGCATTCACTGAAAATACAATCTCTCTGCTTCACTACGTTACAATCTACGTTACAAAATCTCAAGATTTAGCCCACAAAAAATTCACGTTATCTCTATTAGTTTTATGGTCTTCCATATAATAGTCTTGGGAGGCGTGTGTGGCCGAGCGGGTAACACCTAGAACTCTGGATCTGGAGGTCCGGGGTTCAAGCTCCGCCCGTCACTTTGTTTCCTTAGGCAAGGAACTTTACTCCACTTTGTCTCTCTTCACCCAAGTGTATAAATGGGTACCGGCGTCATACTGCTGGGGGGGGGGGGGGGGGTGGTGGGGAACCACCCCCCCCCCGGGGGGGAAAGAAAAAACCCCAAGGCCAGCTTTCTCCCACGCAAACCGAAGTAAACCCCGGCCGTGGGCCCCTTACCTTTTTGTTTTAAAATGTTTTAAAAATTGGCTAAAAAACCCCCTGTTTTTTTCAACCCTACACGAGACCGCAACGTGCGTTAGGCCAGTGGGAGGTTGGTTCACGCTCGCTTGTCTTGCAGTTGCGCGTGTGTCACGGCCTACCTCTCCCTTATTTGTTTGTTTGTTCGTTAGAATTACTCTTATTCAAGGTTGTCCCTTCCCGGTGGGTATTGGTTGACGCGGTGGTCTTTGGGTGGGGTGGGGTGTGGCAGTGTGGTGGACTAGAATCCCGTCCAGGGGGGAATAGCAATACTCCAAGGCATGCTTCATGCTACGGAAACCGAGTTAAGCTCCGGCCGTGTGCGCCTTTACCTTTTTTATGTAATAGTCTTATAAATTGGCTCAGAAGAACCCGGTTTATACGGACACCAAAGCGGCATGCCACAGTGTCCGTATTACTAAAGCAGGCTCTTAGAATGAAACGTTAGGGACACATGTTTTTATCGATGTGAAGACTAAAGCAAACATTTTTACGAGAAAACGTTATTTTGTTCTGTAATCACTTATCAAAGTCTACTATAGTCTATTACCTTTTAAGAACTAAGGGAGCCGTGATTTTAGAAAAAAAAAATATGTGGCCTTTTCATCGGGAGGACAGACGAAACTGTCCGTAATAAACAGCTGTCCACCAAGCGGGGATCCACTATATACTAAAAATTGCACTCTGCTAGTATAAAAGTGCAAGTCGGAAGTACCACAGATGGCGTGTTATTTTGTTCCTATTATTCTAGAGATACAGAACATTATCATAGTTTTTGCTAAGCCTTAGTTTTAAAACTTCTACAGAAATCCACAACAAAAGCAAATACCATTATATCTACGACAAAATTAAATACCCTAAAATGAGTGAAAAGGGATAAGTCAAACATGACATATACCGAGACATATACCGAGAGTAAGCCTGTAAAAAAAGAGCTACGGTAAAAGGAAGAAATACTGAAAGGGCCATTATCAAATAGACATCACGCAAAAAGGCATCTCGGTGACGGAAAGGCATCACACAAAAAGGCAGCACGCTTAAAGGCATCACGTATGCAAAAGGCATCACGCAAAAAGCCGAAACAACAGCACTAATCGGTAATGTAACAAGAGTTTTCTTTGCCCCCTTTCCAGGCCCTCAATGAAATGTGCTTTGTATGTCTGGTGCAACTCCATTGCGCCATCCATTAGGTGTTCTCACTTTGTGGTGTGAGTGTACCACTCGGAATTTGTGACCATGCACTAATTTCAAGTATACCAGACCGCGATCAGCCGCATTTGTGCTAGCTAACTGTTTTTACTCCTAGGCTACTGATAGCATACGAAACTTTTTTTAGACTCATCGGTAGTTCCTTCGTTTCTGGTTAGGAAAGTAGAAAATGAAAGTTCCCTTGCACGCACAACCTTGGTTAACGAACCGGGAAAGTATAGCGAGACAATAGCCGTCTTGTCAGGAGCCTACAGGCTCCTATCGTGTACTCCGAACTCACGAAAAGAACTCAGGAGATGCCTTTCGCCGATTGGGCACAATAATACAAAGCATTTTTTGTGCCCAATCACGAGCCAGCATTCGCTTGACCGTTTGGAAATGGTGAGAGTCGGTACCCAGGGGCTTTACCAATCGAGTTTGAAAACTTTCATCGCACCTTTTCTCCCGGCCCGACTGACTGCCCCTGGGTCTTCGAGGATGTAGCATTCCTATCATTTTGAACTTACTGACCAATAGATATGAACATTTAAAGTGATTTTAAAGTGGAGCTAAGACCATTTTAAGTAGTTGATAACTTTTCCCCAGAAAGAAACAATGATTTGACGTTTTAATGTCATTGTCTAGATTGTCTCAGACTTGTCCTCAAACAAGTCAAACACTTGCTGAAGCACTCTCTCACAGTCACTGTGAAGCGTGCTCAAAACACTCCATCGGTCGCAAACTATCCTGAGAGCTGCTTCGCTTCTTTGGTCTCGCTGTCCTCGTTCTGGTTTGCTGTCTATGGCATTTTCCAGCTCGGATTTTGCATTCAATATGCAAATATGAAGCTCATCGCTTGAGGTCTGAATGGTTGACTCTGCGCGCTGTTTGACACTCTCAAGGACAGTCGTCCATGAGCGCAGGCGTTCCAGCTGCTCTTTAAGGAAGTCTGCCTCAGACTTGAAGATTTGGTTGAGATAAACTTTTAGATCTTGTTCTCTTGTAGAGAGGGCACTGTGCAGCTGCCATAACAAACAAATCAGCGATAACATCTAATCTCAGGCATTTTTTGGGTGAGTGTTATAATGCAACGTCATAGTCAAAATCTTGGAGGTAAATGCTTCTTATCTCAGCAAACTATGAATCAGAAAGCTGCGAAAAATTTCGCGTAGTATTCCTGCCTACTAGTTTCAGCACTTGGATTCTAAAAATTGATGCCTTCATCGATATTCCCCGCGTTTTGCGAGCACGCTGGCAAAAGTAAACTATGGATACGTTCACTTGGCACCGGACGAATTTTCAACCGGTTTTAAAATTCTTTCGTTTAGGTGTTCCGTTCCATTGGAACCATCTTAATTTCGTGCCTAACCCTTCAAAAATTTGAACGCCAAAATCAAGGTTGTATTTTTAGCCGGTACGGTCGAAAATTTGGCCGGCAAGGTGTGAATACAATAACCATGGATACGTTGTAGCTCTGTTGGGAGATGCAACTTTGTGCATGGGCAGATAGTCAAACCACTGAAAAAGTTCAATTTCAACCTGGTTTGTCAGTTTTGAAAATATTGAACGCCTACGTGTAAATAAAGTGTCCATTCAAACTTTTCAGCCGGATGAAAATTCTTCCGATGCCTTGTGAACCCGGGGTGTGAACGTAGCCTTATAGCCCTTGTTACTGATTGCTCGAGGTGGCAATTCAAAAGTTGGGTACTTTTTCTGAACACAATAACAAAGTGACTCTAACAGACCTCTTTGAAGAAGCTTTGAATGTCCATTACCCCCTGTTCATGAGCTTTTTTCAGTTTCGAATACGTCTCCATCTTTTCATCTTCTACGACCTTAGCTTCACCAAGAAGGGTGTTGGCCTCTTTGATTAAATCTTCCACTTCCTCTCGGTACTTAAAGGCAGCTTCAGCTAATGGTAAACAAACGTGACCGAAGTGTTCGACAGCGATGCATTCCCTACAAACAACATGACCGCACCGCTCATCGAAAAACCGGAATTTATCGTTGTGTGTTTGGCAGATGAGGGATACAGAAGCAAGCTGTGGGTTTGCTTTCAGCTCCTCCAGGGAAACAACCCGATGGTCACGACTTGCCTTGTTGCGAGTATGAAACTGAGCAGCAGTTTTGCACATGTTTTCTTTGCAGTCCAGGCAGCAGAAATTTGCAGGATGTTTCTTATCGCAAGCTTCACATTCGTGCGAGCCCTTACTTCTATTCCCTACTGACAGAGGCCTCTTTTCTCTGGTATTTGGCAAAACATATCGTTTGGGTGCCGTTTCGTTCACGATGTCCAGTAATGCAAAATTCTTTGACAGGCCATTGACTCCAGTAGAAACTGCGACTGAATTTCTGCATTTGGGACAATCAATGGTGATACCATGAAGTAACCTTTTCAAGCAGCTCGAGCAGAAGCTGTGTCCACAACTCAGCATCCGAGGACATTTATTTTCGTCATTGTAACCTTCAAAACAGATTGAACATTCCGGTTCCTTGGATGCCATTGTCTATAATTCAGAATGAAGAAGTAATTTTCAGAACGACAAAAAATGAGAAAAGAGCGATTTCTCAAATTCGGTACATTTTTATCGACCCTCTTAAGGTTCATTCACGTCTTCGTAAGTGTCATCGACATGATTATTGTGGCTGGCAGTTTTTTTCCTCACTACACAAAAGTCAGCTCTTTGTTCACTTATCTTCAATTTAAGTTTTGAAAAATGTTTGCGAATATAAGTTTTACAACATAAATTGTTGCAGAAATAGCTGATTCACACCCTGCTTCGCAGGGTACTGATTCACTGAATATAAAATGCATATGAAACTTTTTACGAACACTTACAGTAAAAATTACAAATCAAAGGTCTCATTGGCCTGTTCCAGGCGTTCGGATGGTGGAGTGCGGCGCGAAGTAAGAGAGCGAGAAAAAAAATGCGCTGGCCCCACGATCTGAACGCCTCAGGGGAACAGGCTAAGGTGTCATTGCCAGTGGAGTCTAGAAAGGTGATGCCATTGTGATGGTTTTTGTAAGGCCTTCACACTCATCGTACATTGACGTTCACGGTACACCGTACCCCCTGGTTGAGGACTTATTTTTTCGTCTTACCCCTGAAGATTTCGAAAAATTGCATTCACTTAAGACCTCCATCAAATAAGGTTTTTCCCCTGAGGTCCTACCCCTGAAGAATGTGGGTCTACCCGTAAAGAGTTTCGTGAAAATTAAGGCTCAACCCCCAAAGAATTTCATGCTTTTTTAACTCGACCCCTAAAGTCCCTAAAGAAACCTACCCCTGAAGAATTCCATGGTTCGTCAACCGGGGGGAGGCGGGGTACGGGTATTAAATGCAATAGCCCAAACAGTGTGATATACTTCTAATAAAGTCATAACAAATAGTAAAAGGCTGGTACAAAGCCAGAGGTTCTTAGCACAGTCATCCGGCTGGAAACGCTTCGATTTCAAACAATGAAGCGGAACCGAACCGAGAACTTTCGATGTTGTCATCATCCAACCACGTGAGGAATGCCACACGCGTGAAAATGTTTGAACTATTATGATCTCATTTACGTAATCTTAGCGTTAAGTACCGTCAATACTGATGAAAAGCTTACATTTAAATAACAAAACAATAATTCATCGACAGATCTAGACTCGACTTGGATTTGCTTGGATTTGGAAATACCTTATCGAGCTGATCCGACTGAGCGATGGCAGCCTAAGTTGTATTAGTCGACTCTACTGCCTTACAAGAAACTTTGCCCACCTTAATTAAAGCAAAAAGCTCACTGAAAGTAAGTGTAAGAACCTTTTTGATCAGGATCTCTCCGCCGTCGGCACTTCCTCTTTTGTTGTTGCGAACTGTGTCATGTCAGAGCGGTTGGCCGAGAGGGCTTGGTGCACTAAATTCCAGTCCTCACTCCTCACTCCTTAATATCAATACTTCCGTCTCAGTGGTTTCCAGACTTCGCACCTACTTATGATCCACTTCCGCAACGGTCCGAATACCCGTTCACACTACGATGTGTGACGCTTCACTTTTGAGATCGGCGTGGTACAGTTTCGATCAGTTACAGAGTGAATCGCGCCGAAATCAGCGTTGTTATGTATGAACAAGAGAGAACATGCTATCTCATTCTCTCTTGGTGTGAATAGAAGCCCTATCAGGTATAGTTTTCGTAGAGTCTTCAATTCCGCCATTGATGATGTCCCTTCAAAAACAGAAAGTGGTTGTCCTGTTGCAATATGTACATAATACAAGCTCCAAAGTTGAATGATGCCGTCATTTTCAAGAATAGGAATTATAACAATTGCACTACGTTACAAAATCTCAAAATCTAGCCAGCGAAAAATTCCCAATATCTCCAATAATTTTGTGGCCATCAAACAAGGGTATATGCCATAGTATCTGTATTATTAAAGCAGGCTCTCAGAAAAGAACATCAGGGTTTGCAAAAAAATTATGCATCATTCATTAGTTTACTTCTAACGGAATGTTTCACAACTGAAATACTGATTTCTACTTATCTCATGTTATACCACTCAATGAAATAATCTCTAATCATTTCGTCAACTGGCTACTTCCAAGTTTATTCGCTAACGTAAAAGTTACGCATCTTTACTTAGCCCCTGTGCAACTTAAATACTATGTTTTAATTACTTTTATGACAGCAAACATGTATCAGATATGGTTGCACTTAAGTTGCCGGAACGTGAATTTAAAGATCTGTTGAACCTTGTACGAGAGAGAATGAAGCATGTTTACAGAATTATATTTATTCGGTACACCTTTAAAAAAATCAGCTCTTGTTCAAGCTTCTAAAGACACAATTCCGCATACTTCCAAGTAAAAGTCAATATTATATTGACAATCTGATCATATTGACAATTGGTATTTACTAATAAATGATCTAAATACCAATTGTTAAGTGACGTTTCATTTGTAGACCATTGAAAACTATGATTTTTTGTATTTCCCTTTGAAGCAGGTGAAAGATAATTCACGTACATTATGCCGTTCGCCATAGCCGAATTAGGTCTTAAATGTCTTAAACCAGCAGCAAGAATAAAATATGAATCCTTACACAACTCATGATAGCTGCATCACTGTTCTCACCGTTTGAATCAAGAAGATATTTAAATGTTATGCTTCTGAACACGTTTAGCCTTAATAGAAGACGACAAAATTGTGAAGAACCAAAATGGCTGTCTCAAAGTGCCCTTGTTTGACCTTTAGCGCAGTAATGTCAAGTTTAGATGCCAAAATCTCATTGGTTCCTATAAGCAATCAAATCATAGTACCTTCAACGGTCTCAAATTCAAAACAAATCAAATCCTTTATTTAAACACGGAACACCCAGGAGCACTAAAGTTCTCGTTAAAACGTGTACGTGTATACAAATTAGAAAATTAAAAATAAATAAAAAAAATTGTGCTAGTAACCTATACATTACTACTGATAAAATACTAACTATAAATAGATCTACAAAATGGCTAAAACCAGAGTCTAAAATTTACAAGCACTACACCCTGACCCTTGTGAGCTTTAAGATATCGCTTAAATGACGCAATATCTTCAACCTTATTGGCCCCTGCAACACACATCCAAACAGACAAAGCCACAGAGCCACAAAGATGCATACGCTTCGACCACTGATATAGCTCAATAAAGCGAGTTGATAATATTTGACCTTTTCGGATCGTAAAAGACGAAATTGTCCGTAATAAACCTATGTTCATAGAGTGGGTTTCCACAGTAAATATTGCACTCTGCTACAGTATAAAAGTGCAAGTCGGCGGGTCCAGAGCTTCAGATAAGGGGGGCGGTCATCCAGACCCTGAGATAAGGGGCGTTGGTCTCAAAGAAAGTTTTTTTCGGCCTTCGGGCCTCAGTTTGGTCTAAAACATAAGGCCTGCCCCTCCCCTTGATTAGCCACTGCCTATTAGAAAACAATCTCATGTCAATCAAAACTAACCTAAACGAACACAGACTGAGAGAATTTTAGAATAATCAGTTCAAACACCCCCCTCAACCAACCCCCCAGTCGAGAGTTAATTTTCGAGACCCATCTAAAACTATCATAGGTAGTATATTGTACATTGATTTTAACTTGGGATACACCTGAGATGGCCTCTCTTAATTAATTTCTTCCTCGGTAATTCAAGCGAAAAGTGAAAAATATAGACTGTTGAATGTAGAAAGAAAAGTAATGCCAATATGTAGACAACAATACCGCATTTTTGTGGGTATTTTCCCCTGCAATTTTAAACGAGTCTCGGTATCCTCCTAAAATCAGCTTTTGTGCCCTCTTGTATTTTTGTACCATGTGCAGTTAAAACTAATTGCGTTTTACAACAAAAGGGCTGCCTTTGATGTGAGCACCTCGCAAGCACACGGACAATGTGTAATCATCAAACGAGGGAAGTAAACAGAGAAGAGACGCACAACGGTAGTTAGTATATTCCACCAAGTACGTTCCATTGTCTTGGTCTTTTACATCCACCTTAAACTTGTATCTTTCCTTCTTATTTGCTTTTAGTTCCACCGCGTAAACGTCGCCACCTCGATTGCGTTGACGGTCTTGGCTGTCGCGAGATAAAATAGTGAATGTCGCCTTCTGTCCAGAGATAAAGAATTTTGTCCCCTCGCCAACCGCAATAGTGTTTGCTGTACAGGTTGATATGTCACTGATGTCGCCTGCGCTCTGGATAGCTTCCTTTACTGAATCCTTCGACTTTCTAAATCCAAACAAAAGGCCTAGATTGGACTAAGAGAGATCATTGCAGTAAGTTACAATATAATTTACAGTCGTTAATAAAAGTATAAATCTTCGAAGCTCGTTTAATAAGAAACTACTTTAAAAGTCGCTCGTATGTTGATATTTCGCCTGTTATAAATTCCGTTTCTTAGCAGTTCTGCCGATTAAAACTTTAACTTGCGACAACCATAACAGAATGATTCAAATCTCATTTGAGTCTTTCCCAACACCTTTTTTCTCACAGTGCACCTAGGAGGCTGAGGAGAGTTTTGTTTCTTTAATGCTAGTGGAGTCCTCGGCGGAGGGCGGGGATTCTATGCGTTTTTGTTAATTTTTATGGTTTTCATCCTGTACAATATTAAATCTGTTGTAAGTGTCAACGCCTCAGTTTGGCTTAAAGTTCTACCGACTCGGATTCAGACTCAAGTATTTTAGACTCAATCTGAAGTTTGTATTCGAGAAATAAACGTCACGATCTAATACTTTTGCAAAGTATTGAATTCGTTCATCTTTTTTCATTTTCAGTTTGGAACAGTGAAACACAAGAAGCACCCTCTTGGATGTTATGTGCGTTCACTTCGGACCTTAAAGATTGAAGTATCAGTCACAGCTATTTTAACCAATGCATTAACAACTCATTAGCAAACCAAGGTTGACAAGAAACGTTAAAAATTGCCTGGACGAAATTCATCTCTAACTGGTTGATATATTAGCCATGTTTTCCTCTGGAACCCAACGGAAATCGGGACGGGATAAGAAATTGAGTTGTCTGGCCTTCGTTGCTAGAAATAAAATCACAGTCATTCTTCTCACCTCTCTTTTCTGTTCCTTCTCCGAGAACTCCGGTAAAAACTGGGCCTCCGGTTCAAGCACCAAAGAGTAGCTTTCTTTGTTCTCGAGTGTAGACACCATAGCCGGCCTGCTGAGAAGGAATTGAACATCGCCAGAAGATTGGATGGAGGATTTTGCTTGTTGAACTGCACTCTCTAAATATACTTGGTTTAATCGCAGACGATCCTGCTGACCCGTGAGGATGGATTCCTTTTGTAGAAGTAGGCTTACCAACTTATCCATCAGAACTTGCTGTCGGCTATCTAGAGCGGCATGAAGCTATAAGAAAACACACATACGCTATGATTATATCTCGAAACTATTCCAAAGTTAATCTTTGCATATTGTCCTTCGGCAAACTGTATTGTTATTGCAAAAAGTTTTGTTATTCCTCAATGATACCGTTTATTAGCGAAAGTTTGGATTGTTAACTTTTATTTCAATATAAGCAACAGTTGAGTAGTTAGTGTTATTCCAAATCAAACATGGTCCGGGAGTTCAATGGCCCCAATCATTAGTTTCTGCATGTCACTTTGAGTGTTTTTTATATCTTATCGCAGTAACTGCTAGCATACGCCGTTAATCAAAAAACAAAATACTGACTATTACTTGCTAGGGTTCTTGTAATAAGGAATAATTCTTGCTTCGTTGAGTTAGTCGACCCTATAACAAAGACATGACTTACTTCTCCAAAAAACCCGAGAAGTTCAGCACGCTGTTCTTCGCAAGCCTCCTTCATAGAAACACTTGCTCTCCCGACTAGAGCTTCAGCGGCTTTTATCTTTTCGGCTTGAGAGCTGGCTTTGGTGACAAGTGCTTCCATTTCCTGTCGGTACTTTGAGGCAGCTTCTGCTACTTCTACACAATTGTGCCCGCTATGATAAAGGGAGTGACAATCTCTACAGATAACAATACCACAATCTTCGTCGAAAAAGCGGAACGGATCTTTATGTTTCGGGCAGAGAACAACTTGCTCTCTGGATGCTTCGTTTATGATTTCAAGTAATGCAAAATTTTTTGCTAGACCTTGGACTCCAGTGGGAACTGCAACTGGATTTCTGCACGTGGGACAATGGATGGTGTTACCATGGAGTAATCTGTTCAGACAGCTTGAGCAAAAGCTGTGTCCACAATTCAGCATCCGAGGACATTTGTCTTCGTCATTGTAACATTCAAGACAGATTGAACACTTCGGTCCGTTGGACGCCATTGTCTGAAATAGATGAAAAAAATCAACGGCGATCTCTCAAATTTGGCACGTTTTTGTCGACCCTCGTAAGCATTGTTTTCGCTGGTAGTTTTCATTTCTCATGTACTTCTTTCAGTCTCATGGAGAAACCTTTACACAAAAATTGTCCATCATACTGCCATATTTTTACGCAAAAAGGAACGTTTCAGTTCACTTCTCTTCAACTGGAGTTTTGAAAAATGAAATGAAATACCATAACAAATGACCATAGAGATGAAATATGCCGTTTACGAAGATGTTAATTAACACAGCACAGAAATTACTGGAGCAATAGCTCATTCACTGAATATGATGTGTATGAAACAATTTACTAACACTTACAATAACAATTACGAATCAAAGTGCAGTCTTAAAGCGATGTCACTGTGGTGACCTCTATAATACAAACACCACTCTTATATGCACACTTTTCTCTCTCCAAACGGATGCCAGCTACGTCCATTGAAAGAATACAAGTCAATTTTTAAAGTTTTAAAAGTTTGAACTTCCGAGTTATAAATGAGAAGCAAAGTTAAGGGCCTTGAGGTTTTCGCTACTAGGCCCAGTTAGCAGGGGCGGATCTAGGGGGAGGGTGCAGGGGGTGCGCACCCCCCCCCCCCCCCCCCCGCTTTCTTTAAAAAAAGTTATTCTCCCAAAAAAAAAAAAAAAGCTTTTTTGTGTTTGGGGAAAGCAACAAACGAGAGACCCCACCCCCAAAAAAAAAACCATCACACCCCCTCTTTTTAACAACATTTTTTATTTTTTTTATGTTTTTAACCCACAATTAAAAATAATAAGCAAATGAAAAAGCCGGTGAGAATAAGCAACTCTGGTTTAGGGGGAGATGTGGAGCTAGCTGAAGAAGTTGTGGTGATTTCGACCCACCCCCCTCCCCTGCGGTTTTCTAATACAACTGGAATTCTGCAAAAAAAAACTATGTGGCTTATTGGTGTTGAAGCAGAGCAACAGACGAGTGCACCCCCTCCTAAAAGAAATCCTGGATCCGCCTCTGGTTAGAACACATATTATTGCTAAACATACTTCTAATAAGGTCATAACAAATAGTAAAACGGCTGAGAGGTTTTAAGTACATTCAATACGGCTTGAAGCCTTTTGATTCAAAATCTCTTGTTGCTCCCTCTTAATGAAATAACTGAACCGAGAACTTTCCCGTGTCGTCAAAAATCCATCCAACCAGGTAAAGAATACCATTAACGCGTGAAAATGTAAGAAATATTATTATCCCATTTACGTTATAATAGCGTTAAGTACCGTAAATACTAATGTAAAGCTTACATTTAAAGAACAAAGCAATATTTCATCCACAGATCTAGTTTTGATTGGATTTGGAAATGCCCTTATCGAGCTGACCCGGCAGAGCGATTGCAGAATTAGGTTGAATTAGTCGACTCTACCGCCTTACAATAAACTATGCCCTGCGTCATTTTAATAAACGAAGTTGTACGTACCTTTTGTAAAGCAAAAGGCTCACTGAAAGTAAGTGTAAGAACCTTTTTGATCAGTATATCTCCACCGTCTGCACTTCCGCCTTGTTGTTGTTGCACGGACTTAATGGCGCTGTTGGCCGAGAGGGCTTGGTACACTAAATTCCAGTCCTCACTCCTCTGAATCACTCTTCAATCCCTTCTCAGTGGTTTCCAGCCCTCGACCCTAGCCCACTCAATAGGCACCTTACGATCCGACAACGGCGACGTCCATGAAAACATCGCTGAAAAATAGATTTCGCATCCTTTTTCGCGATTATAACAATTCGCCCTGTTTCTTAGAAGAAGGGAATTTTGGTTGGAGCTGAAGAGAAGGGACCGCGCCCGAGTTCAGACAGAGTTCAGGTAGAATTTATCGCCTCGCCGTTTCCGTTCTCAAGTAAACTTAAAATTTGGTCATTTAATTTTACGTCGTAGTTGTGCAGGGACAGTAAAAAAGTGTACAAAAGAGCGTGATGCACGTGCAGAGTTGCTTTTTTGCTCATTAAACCAAGATAGATCATTCTCTCTTGGGAATACTCAGTTTAAACTTGTAATAATTGCAAATTAGGGGAGTGCGTTCAATGGGGATGGGGAGGCTGGTGGGTTGTGAGTGGTAGTGAGAAGGGGTTGCAAAGCCTAATGGGCTTGTAATGTCGAGAAATCAAAATCGAACACCTTTATCAATATGAATATCAGCAGCTGTCTTCATCAGTGTTATTGTTTGTCCTCCCACTTTACATACAATTCGTTGCTATTTCATTTTTCCTCTAAAATGCACTATAGGATGATCAATAAAACTGGCTAAAAATTGGGATACAGAAAATTGAAATTATCTGAAAAGTTTAAGCGTCGCGTATCACTTTAAACCTTTGTTGTGTGACACTAGGTTAACACGACTCACCTACTTAGCACTGTTTTCAAAATACAACGCACCCGGAATTAGTGAGATGAAAAGGTCAACGTTTCACTGTTCAACTTCTTGTATATTTTTCAAAAATGGTGAGAAACAAGAGCAAATACAACGCTGTAAATAGCTTTTAAAAGCGAAAAGATGTAATTTGTAATAGAATCAAATATGGTCGATCTAAGCTGATCTCGCTTGAATCCATAAAAACAAATACAGTGTGCAGAACGCATTGTTAACATAATATCTAAATATACGATTATCTTAGAATGGAAATTTTCCTATGATAAAAAAACTTAATTGAAAACTGCGAGAAAAACTGTAAGCAGACCTGTGGTAAACAGAAAATCGCCAACGTTTCATCTCTGAACGAGTGTCACAAAATAGATACCAGCTCCCGGGCGGGAAAAACTGAACACATGAGATCGAGGTAAAGTGTGCCAGGCCGGTCCAAGATGGTGTCTAAACCGTGAAATCGCATGGCATACAGAACGGTTACTACTTCGTGTACGGTACACGAATAGTAGGCGTTCTCCTTCGTCGAACGCAAATATTATTTCACCGAAATTTATCACATGAACCAATCGCACAAATAGAAAACTTTTTCTCACATCGTGTACCACTGGTATGAGTTGCATTACGTAAATCAACACTTTTATGACTCGAACAAGGGGCTTGTATTCAACAATTCTCTTTGTGTGAGTTGCGCCGCCTGCTCAAAAGGTCTAACCTGCCTTGTTTCCGGATACCCCCTCCTCATATAAAAAATGATAGGAAGGAGAAAGCGGGCAAGGCCTTTTCTATCTTCTTCTCGTGGTCCCTCGCGCTGCGTTAAAACTAACAGTCACGTTTATGCATGAATTCAGGCCATCGACTTTGGCTCGTCACATGACGAAGAGGTTTAACATTTACAGCAAAAGGGCTGCCTTTAATGTGTGCACCTCGCAAGCACACGGACAATGTCAATTTACCATACATCTTGTCGACAGTATATTCTGCCAAGTAAGTTCCATCCTTTCGGTCCTTTAACTCTACCTTTATTTCACCTCCTCCCACCTCTGGTTTCAGTTTCACCACAAAAACGTCGCCACCAAGCTTGCGTTGAAAGTTTCGGCTGTCGTGAGAAGTAATAGTGAATGTCGCTTTCCTTCCAGGGTTTGCAGTTGTTATTCCCGGGCCAGTTGCAGTAGTGTTTGCTGCACAGGTTGATATGTCACTGATGTCTCCTGCGCTCTTGATAACCTCCTCTATACTCTTGTTGGGATGGTGAGAAAATGACTGAAAGAGATCGACAGCGTTGCAGTGAGTCCTTGCCTATTTCATATTTTTTACAACTTCAATTTTGAAAAGCTCATTTACTAAAAAACGATTTACTTGGCACGCGTAGTCATCTTTCACTTTATATTCTGTTTCTTCGCAGTTTTATAAAATAAAATTGACTATGCGACAACCACATTTTAAGCAACTTATGGATCAGTTCGTCGAGAAATATATTTGTGAACTTAGAAATGCATTTGGTGTGTCTGTACTGTAATCGATCGTGGGCAACGACTGTGCGCAATGCTGGCCCACCCCATTGGTATAGTCTGAATAGAACGGACACAATCATAGACTTTCTTCAGGCGATCCTCAAGAACATAATTCAAAACCTTCAGACTAGCAATGCAGCTTCTCAGAATAACAAGCAGAGACAACATCAGAAAAAAACTCAGAATCTTCGAGCAAGGGAAAAGCTCGTGGGGGGTGGGATTTTCCCAAAACGAAAACACGTGATACTGAGTCCCAGTTTCCCACATAGTCTATACAGGCTTAGACTTCTCGCGACTTCGCTCGCTAAGAAACTTGTGAGGTCGACTTGTAGCAAGACTATATACAGGCAGTGTGGACTGTGGAGTGACTGCGACACAGACAACGGGCGAGGCATCCACTATATTGTAAAAAGAGATTAATATTTCCCCGTTTCTGATTGGCTTAAATCTTCGGCAAATTCTTCAAAACTAGTTACCGTTGACCAAATTTGGATGACGTTTGGGATATCGCAAAAAAAAGCGTTAATGGTGCAGGATAACTGCAGAAATAGGTAGACAACTGTGACGCCCTGGGGAAGAGGTTGTGTTAGCTCAGCTCAGGCTTTATTGATAGAGCTGGAGAATAATGGTGGAAAATTTCACACGGAGATGAACATATACTACTCGACAAATGACAACTACCCTGGTCCCAGATCGCCACTTTGCACAGTTCGCTCTCTCTTACGCAGAGAAAAGTTTCCAGAAAAACGTCCGGGACCAGGGTAGATGACAACTGCTATGTAAAGAATATCTGCCAGGATATTCATCCCGCAGAAAAGAATGGCGCTCGAACAAAACCGTTAGTCTGGGTCCCAGGCTAATTCATGGATAACTAAAATCAAAATTTGAATTCTCACCATTCTTTCCTCTTCGCTCCCGGTGAATTCTGCCATAAACTGTGCCTCTGGCTCAAGCACTATTGAGTAGCATTTTTCGGTCTCGAGCGTCGAGACTATATCCGGCCTGCTGAGAAGGAACTGAACATCACTCGGAGATTGGATGGAGGACTTTGCTCGTTGAACT